TCACAGTCCACGTTGAGATTGCGCGTCGAAACCCATTCAAACAACGGGCGCTTCTAAACTACCCACCACTCGTTGGCACCTTAGTTCAGCTTGTGGACAAGTTTTGAAAAACATTATCCAGTGGTGTAAACATTCTTTGTTTAGTCCCCGCAGTGGTATTTGTTTCCAAAGCAGTACTGATAGTGACACAGTCTTTTAGTTGCAGCCCATGTTAGTCTCATTGACATTCATCGCCCAGCGCTTGTCTAAGTTGTCTGATTTTGTAATAATCCCAGGAGCAAACATTCGCATTCGACACAGTGCATAATTTTACGTAGTTAGTAGATGGTTTTCTTTGTCTTTTTCATTTCGACAACATCGGTTTACCCTCAGCAGATGGCAAAATGATGGGAGTTATATCCATCGTTGAGTTCATATAATCCGTCCTCAGTAACACAGTAATGGTAAGTGGACCGTTATCCGACAAACAGAACCGGTTTGGACAGCACGGGTTCTATCAATCAATTGACTTGTGGAACATGATTCACGACTTCTATGTTGTAAGTCTCGGGGTATAGTTGACTTGCTTGATGTTGAGGGAGAATAATCCAAGCATCTGCGACCTGACAGATGTGACTCACCACCGAATAAAGTCACTATCCAAAAACTCACACCGGCAAGTTAACCAGAGCGACCTTTCACATCATTCCAGTATATTTGATATGTGCACTAAAAAGACACTTCCTGTTTCTAACATCCGTCTCCACTCTATATATTACGCTCTTACACATTCTTGAACCCAGACTTTCGCCACATCATTAAAGATTCCGTTTCTGACCAGTGCATCCGCCATTTCGGTAGCTTCTGTATCTTGTGCGAACAGCGGATTTCATGCAAAGCAACGTGCCTGTTGCGGAACAATTCCTTGTAAATTATTGATCATGCCAAATGTGGTGTGCCTCGAAGTATGCGAGAATAAAATGTTTATTTAGTTATTTAGTTATTTATTTATTTGAGCGGGTATTAGTCATCCAGGCAAGAAATAGTTTCCGTTTGCGCGTCCTCGCTAGACGCAAATATTACGGTTTTATATGCACTTTATCTTATGAATAAAAGAAGAAATTGCCCCGTTACTTCAGCGTTGCATTGCCTCTTCGACAGATGATTGATATCACGAAATTGTTACAATTTTGTAGCTGTTAGGTTTGTTCCCTAAATCTACTTAAAACTCATCGCAAGCAGACACTATGTGCTTCTCAGCGGGGCGACAGCTACACTCCACCACGGTTCAAAGAAGTCATCACTAATGGACCTAATCCGGACTAATGAAGAGTTGTTGGTTGTGTCAGTCACACACGACCATCCACTAGGCAGTAGCGAACATTCAACCTTAAAGTTTTGTTATGTGTGTTATACCAGTCTGCTTGATAAAGAAGGGGAAATCAACGAACTATTACTGACCATTCCAAACTTCACAACCTAGCAACAACCACTGGCTAGGACCTACAGATTGAGTTCGGCGAACGACGCATGGAATGAAATGAAAGGTAAAGTTAACTGGGTCCTAGGAGCAGCCTCAAAAGTTGCACCATTACGAGTATCACGCCGGACCAACAGTTGAATCCGAAGTAGAACTCGTAAATGGATCAACAGAAGAGATGACATTTGGAAGCAACATACACTAAGTCCATGTGATACCTCATGGCAGAATCAAAAAATATCAGAAACTACTACACACCACTTATTAGAGTGGATAAGTACGCATGACAGGTGACCATGGTATTCAAGTTTGCGAGTGACAACAAACTGCTATTTAGGTCTGTGAACGATAAAAGTAAGGTTAAACCGGAATACCACCGCTCAAGACGGCAGGTCGCTTAAGGACTACTGCTTTGGATACTGCGAACGCTCAACTCCTGCAGTTTGGCTTAGTTGCTAAAAATACCATAGAGCTTTTGCTCCATCAATTCCCAACAAATGTCGTCGGCTTATCCAGTGTCATCCTTACCCTAGAGGCTGTCGTGAACAAATAACAGTCCCTCCGGGAAAGCCGTGCCTCAGGAATCGACAATACCTGCCCAAAGATACTTAAGGCTCTAAAGAGAATTTTCATTGTTCCTAAAAGTTATCCCACCATAGCAGTACAACTTACAGCCATTTCCCAAGATCTGTTTGACTACCATACACTTCCATCGGAGTGGAAACGTGGAATCATCACGCCGAGGTACAAAGGAGGTTAGAGATCGCGTCCTGCCGACTACAGACCTAGTACTCTCTTACCTGTTTATTAAAATAAATTGTGGATGTTTGTGAGTAGTGTGAAGTTCGTAGAAAGTAGAAGTCACGATTTAAAATTCATAATTTGATGCAATCCGTAATCGCAGATGAACTGAAACGATATTCTTAACGTCTAAAATAATTTCCAAGGTTCAACATGGTTTTAGACGCAGACGATCTTGTCTCACCAATCTGGTATTGGTGATCGTTTCCTGAGATGGATCTGAAGATTTCTTCTACACCGGCGCCTGAAAGTACGAGTGCCTGAATCGCTGTCAGATTCCATTCGAGTTAAATGCAGAGTACCACAGGGATCGGTACTAGCAGCGCGATTATTTTTGATGTATATTAACAATACCACACGCCTCATAAGCTCGAACTATTTGCTTTATGCCCATGACATTAAGGTGTGGAGGGTGATCAATACACCAAATGATATCACAGTACTTCAACCTGATCTGGTTATGGTATACGCGTGCAATCAATGTAGACAAATGTAGAGTGTTATGCCGTAGGTGTACTCCTATAAACTAGGCAAGCAGGAGCTGCAAACTTCTTCTGGCGAGAAGGATCTGGGTTTTCTTCCAGGCCGGCCTAAGCACTTCGAAGCAGGCTGAAACGGCGTCGAGAAGGGATATAAAGCACGTGGGTCACCTGAAACTTGCCTTGGGATGATTCGACCCTTTGATTTTCTCACAACTGCTCGGCTCATACATTCGGCCACATGTGGAATTCATAATACAGGTCTGGCGGCCATGGCTGAGAACAGATCTCACCGCCTTGGAGATACCCCAACGCCGGGCAACCAAAAATCTCAAGTGTACGTATACTTTGCCGTAGGAACGAAGGCTACAAGTGCACAGGGTCTTCAGCGGACAGTGACGGCGATTGCGCGGGAACCTCACTTTGACCTACCATATTTTGAGAGATCTCAGCCACACGTTCCGCTACTTGCTAGAGCTCAGTCACAACAGCAAGTTGAGAGGCCACCATCTAAAGCTGGCAGAGCAGTACAGTTGTGTGGAATGCCGTCGGAATTTCTTTTCCGTACGCTTTTGCAGAACGTGGAATGCCCTACCAGAATCTGCCATAGGTGCTCCCACGCTGGCAGAGTTCAAAGCCCGAGTTCAATGTGCACTTATTTCGCCGTACCATCTTAGATAACCCATTACCCATGGATAAACACAACTGTCTGTAAGTGATTTCACTGGCTGTCAAATCGCAGATTTCGTTCCACTTTTTCACCTCCAATGTGCGTGCACCAGTAGAAGACACGATTATTACCAACATCTCATTTGCCGTCATTCATTATGAATTTACCTTGGATTTACAGTTTATACTACGTATACTTCTGTAAGATCACCGGTGTAACCCCAATTTTGCTGATAACTTTTGTATATTTTAAAGTTTCACAATAATCATCCTAAGGGACCTGTTAAGCACTAGCTTCTTTACTCCTATAAACCATTGTTCCATCGCACCTTGCCCGGGATTCATGGACCAGAGCAGCAGATGAAGAAGTCCTCGTAAAGGCGGTATACTTAGCTTTTGCTAGGGCATTTGACAGGGTCAATCACTTCGTTCTCCTCCAGAAGCTTGCTGCATATGGCATTAACAGTTCCCTGCTCATCTGGTTGGAAGATTACCTACAAGATAGAACCATCAAGGTAAGAATAGCCTGTGCATATCCGGTGGTGTACCGCAAGGATCTGTCCTCTGCCCGCTACTCTAGTTTACATAAATGTCCCCCAAGAAAACATTTTATCCCTGATGCTGATAATTGCAGACGATGCCAAAATATGAAGAGCAAGTTGCTCGGCATCCGACCCTGCCTCTTGGAGCAGCCGAAACGAAGAGCCACCAAGGCAACACGTGAACTATACGGTCTCAGTTACGAACTGCGTCTCCATTTACTCGGTGTGCTCTTCTCAGAATACCTACGCCTTCGCGGAGACCTCGTTCTCACATACTGGATACTAACTGAGAGCAAACACCCATGTACATCACTGCTGACCCTATCCTCTTACAAACATTGTGGAAGCCATCACCTGAAACTAGGGACGCAACACTCCCGTTTGGGTTGTAGGAAGTATTTTTACTCTCTTAGAATCTGTTCCCACTGGAATTCACTACCAACACATGTGGTGAACGCACCAGACATCGCGACATTCGAGGGACTTTTAGACTTTCATCCGAGTGCTAAACGCTACACAACATTTTGATAAAGTGTGATGTCTTTACTACCTATGATTCACCTTCCACGTGAGAACATTTTTAATTTTAATTTTCTTGTGTATTTTCCATCCTGTAGGTCTAGCAAAGTTATGCTTCTTATCCCATCATACACTATTAAGCTACTGAAATATTAAAAACAGAGTAGTTGAATTCTAATTTTCATTGAATTTCGGAACTCCTTGAATCAGTTGGTAACCATTTTTATTTAGATTATCACATGTATCGGTTATGCTTTCCTCCAGCTGTGGTTCACTGATCGACAAATAGTGTTCAACGAGCACGTCTTCATGGAATCCATTTGTCTACAATGCCCCTACTCTAACCAGGGTCAGTTCAAGCATCTGGTTTCCCTCTATGGTTGCTCACGCGACTAATTGACATACGTTTTCTATTGATTTTTAACATGATAGTGGCCGTATCCTCATCTGCGTCCCAGTCTAATGCTGAGGCACCCCCATCCTAGGAGAGACAGCCATGGTTGGGGACGGCCTACTTTCACAAAGATACTTGATGTGTAGAAGATAGATGTATTTCCGATTGTTTTATTTTTTCATGTACTCTTGTTTTCTCTTACTGCGCATCTCAAGATGGGCTTCTGCCACGCAGTATTTCGGTTGTGTAATATGTAGTTGCATTTTGTTCGTATGTTCAGAGCAGCCTTAGAGACAGCTTGGCTCACCGTTGTGGTTGTGGGGTGAGATGGTTTATCGGGTACTGAATAGGCAGGAATACCACCGATAATTTTGTAGTTCCACTCCATTTCAGACGTCTGTAAAACAAAATTGAATACCTTGGAGCAGCGTATTTTACGTTGTTATTGCATTCAATTACTAGAAAGTAGCAGTGGACGGGCGCTACCTGTTAAGAATTCATCCGAAGTGTGATCTAAATTAGACACTAAGACACCGAATCGATGCCACTGCCCACGCGAGTCAGTGTGCACCGCCGCTAACAAGCCAGGTGCAACAGCTGCCGTCGTGACTATGAGATTAGCCATATTATGGCCGCGGTTGCGCCCCGCTAGCGCTACTACGTAAAAGATAGGCCTGTCCTTGCACCACCGGTTTCCACACGGTTCCATCAATTATCTCACGTTCTAATAAGTCCGTCCGATAAATTGGCTATTTTATTGGGGTCGAAGTCACAATGCCTCAGCCCGTGGCAACGAAGTGTCGGCACAGTGTACTGCTTAGACCTGACTTAGTTTCAGCCAAGCCAGATGAATGTCCTGATCCGATAGGATGCAGACATAGTAGTTCCCACTCACAATTATTTGTGCTACCTGGATATATCTACATACTGCTCCCCTTCTATGCAACTTACTTATTAACGCAGTTGGACGATAAACTTGTCTTTGTAAGCACACTCACCTGGACAACCAGCCTGGCCACTCTTGGTTTTTCGTATTGCGATGGTGTGAATGACAGCGTGACACACGCTGGAACTCGATACAAGCTGTCCTTGTCGTCATGCCCAGCGGGGATTTTGTCTGGTGCCGCAGGAAGTACACCCATCTCGGGTTCCACCTTGAATTCCTTGTGATTGACCGGATATATCCACGCTCTGAACGGTTTTGGCTCCCTGGAAAAGCACATGCGATGCAGCATTACCAACTTAATTTTGTTGCTCCATTCTAACATCGCTTTTTCACCTGAACCGCTACACGCATGCGAACATGGCGGATGTGTTTCTGAAACTGATGGCCTTGAGATTAAATCTATTACTAGGTCACTTGTTCATCAGACTCACTCAGCACATCTTGAATGCCTTGACTAAACCATGATTGCCGTTGTGGGTGTGATTAATAAACTGTACATCGCAATAGTGGCACAAAGGAGGGTTGCCTTTCACTGTCCTGATTGTTTTTCAACCGCCTGCTCCTTGTATTTCAGCATAGAAATAATGTTCGCCACACCATTAATTCCTGCCAACTTCGTCGCAAAAGTTAAGGTTTACTCCGTATCACTGTTCATTACACCTATCTACAAGTCGTGCTGCTCAGCCGAACATCCGTATGTGGTACTGACCGTGGCGGATCGGTTCCTGCAGCGAGACTATGGAACGAATGGCTTTTACCGGACCCCGATACATCTGCAACGATTCGGGTGATAAGTTGGTTTTAGCTTAACTATCCGGTTTACACAATTCATCTTAATTTAATTTAGTTCATCTTAATTCAAAGCGTTTCTCACTAAAACTCAAATCCATTTATCCTCGCCGTCCCTGTGCAAGTCGGTTTCGCATTTAGAATTGCTGTACCGAAATGACATTCCCACTGGACCGGGTAGATCTCTTGAACTGGAACTTTAGTGCCTCCGAGGACATCTGTGTCTCTCGTACTCTCACTTTTGTTGTATTGCCATATGTACTGCTTCGTTTACTATACTTCACCCCGAACCGTGAAGAATTTTCCTTTAGGTCGCTCGTGTTTTCCGTTGGCCGACGTAGTGAATCTTATTTTTGGGTCGTACAGTGGTTTGATTACCTATGTGGTTTCCATAGGATGAACAACTGCACACCTGGTCCTAGGCTTCGGTTTCCAAAAGTGACGCAATTTCGTTTACTTCTACTCATATACTGTGTATAGGGGACAACCTCACTCACCTGTCCTGGCTGGTAAGAATTAGTTTTGCTTTGACCGTTCGCCAAAGACAATTTATCGGCATGAAAATCACGTCGTCCGTCTGTGGCCTCCTTGCTTCCACGCTGATGTCGAAGCTCCACACCGCTCCACTTTTAGATTTTATTGCAAGTTCTGCGTTGCATCTAAATTTCGTGTAAAAGAACAGCACTGAATCCCGAGAATTCCCTATGATTGGGTGCTAAGCTGCATTTGTATGTGATGAAAGCTGGTGTTGAAAATTGCACTCACTTGAACGGGTGAGGTGGTTTAAATTTTGCCATAAACAACAATTCGTTGATTCCTAAATCTGCTTTCACTTTGGTCTTTTTGAGCCTAATGTCTATCGACTTGGCGAGTAATCGGTCTCCATTGTATGGCTCATCTATCTTTCGACTTTTCTTCAGGCTAATTATACGTAGACTCCAGCTGTAGTTGTCCGATTTCTTTCGGCAACCCAATTCACTATTCGCGCCAATCTCCGTGCAGCTATCTTCCCCCAGAGGCTGATCTGGACTTGATGCACGGTTGCCGATCGAATTCACTGATCGGATTCGAATCGGTGAGACGCTATCCTTTGACGGTATTGCATTGTTAATTGGACCGAGTGTCTTCGATGTCAAACTCAATGGCGACAGAGTGACGTGTATATGATATCTGCTGACTGAACGTGCAACTCCAGTTATTGTCGGAACAAACTGGGCTTCAGAAAGCTTGCCTCTGGTATACTTTTGAACTAGATGCGGCCTGTTTGATAATCGAGACGACGAACTTGCCTCTGGAACTCCCTGTGGAATAGAACAGATGGAGCAATCTATTGTCTGACATCACAATTACTTTGTACACCATAATAATGTGATGAAAAACAAACCAAGATACCACTTGACCTAGCATATGTTGGAATGACCCGACTGAGTTCTTGGTGGTCGTTTGCTGCACATTAACCGTGAACGTGTGAACGCAGATCCTATCACGACAGCGACAACCGGTTACTTTTTCATATGTCAAATCATGAAGCTGAATCGCTTGTTCTCCTTTGTACCTTGAAACATAACTACACAAGCATAGCGTAAAAATTCTCCCTCTGGGCTTACTTTGATCGGCAGCAACCAAGTTATTCCAACAGAATCCTCTTCCATCTTGGGGCTACGAAGGGTTCTCATAACCACGGTGCATACACTACGGTATTCCCGCATTTCCGTCGGTGCAAACAAGACGGGTACTTGCAGGACTGCCTTGCTTTTGAGTGATAGTTCTCTGAAACAAGGATGTTTGAATAATTCATTTTAAGAGATTGGACCTCAGACAAAGTAGGGTGTGACTACACTTGCTTGATGATACGACCTATATATGCGTCTTGATACATGAGGCCGTATAAGTCGACTTAGAAAAAAATCCCCTTTTCGTGAGCTTACCGTAGACTCTTTCTCTCGGTACCAGGAACATAGTGCTAAGTTAAGCCTTCATTTAGTTGCTTCCGGATTTGTGAGCCTTGTTCCAGGCACTGAGCTTACCTGTTCTATAGCTAACAGTCAGCATCACTCTGTCAGCAGCCGGCTGTAGTCTAGTTAGATTTGTACGAATTGGCGCTATCCAATTTCCGCATGATCAACGTGGCACATGCACACTGCATTTTTTCATAATCCTCTCGGCTGAGTAACGTTGGTATTCCCCATAAACCGAGGAGATTTAATCGCAAGGAGTCATATTGGTGTGGCACTCTCTGTCCTCACTCATCTTTTAGAGGCCTCCGAGTCACCGTTGAGAGGTGCCCAAGTCGAAGAGTACTGAGAGCTTGCTGCTGATGGTAGTCGAGTCCCAACATTTCGAGGTCTCAAACGGATACGTTATGATGACGACCCATGGCGGGCATTTCTGCCTGTTACGAACTGCTGTATTTATGAGTCAAAGAGGAGGGCACGTGTCCATTCCAACGGAAAATATGTTTGCAAAGTGTAGGGAAAACCAAACGGACTTTTACAGGCCAAAAACCCAGGACCATATTGCAAATGGCTATTCCAAGCTGTGGTCAGTTCTGCAAGGCAAGTGGCTATATAAATGTTTATGTACACAAATTACAATTGTCCGGATTGTAGAAATACGTTCCTGCATTGTACATGGTCGCTTGCTTGGCAACTACACGCTTGTCTCTGGACTACGCATTCTGTTCCGTTTTCTGTGCACGGTTACAAAGCTCCGTTATTTTCAAGGGTGTTGTCTAACTTCGGTTTGAGCACACACTTTGAATAGGGTTAGCTTAGCCCATAACCCTATCATAATCAGTCATCAGACCCTAAGGATTACGCTTCTCTCAGAAGATGGTTGTACAGCCTTCAATTTCTTCCACCTGATATTGTTGTCTATGTAACCCACGTAGTCACGTGGAAATGGTTAGGGTACACAATAATCCGCTTGGTACGCGCCACAGCACATTGAACGATTAAGGCCAAGATTGAATCGAAGTAGACAGCTTACTTACACATGAACCAACTGTGGCTGCCTGGGCCGTTTGGCTGAAACAGATTGTTCTAAGTTCTGTCGGCTCATATCCATACTACTTGCAACCAACAAAACTAAGTCCCCTTCGTCCTATTAGGTCACCCTAGTTTCCACAATAGAGGCCGCTTGCGCTTCGTGTAGGCAATCACATTTAGCCGGTAATCAATGTCTTTGACATCACGGGCTTGTCCATGATGGCCACAAAGGTATTGTCGGCTAAAACCACTTCAAGCAGCCACTATGCTAAACTTTGATCCGAAATGTCAGCGTCCCTTTGTTGCTGTAGTTGGCAGCTCAGGTTGGCGAAATCGACATGGGACCGGTGGGCGGGAATACAATTGGACCGCCAATGCCAGCTGACCATAAACTCATGAACAAGGTGGCCGCAACAGGATTCCCTAAACATAGCACAAACGGGGAGGAGCGTTCTCGCAGGTCTGGACAAAAGTGAACATCAGTGCATGCACACCAACCAGCCTCAGTCGAAGATACAACGTGCAATGTGACTGGCCAAGTGTACTGAAGTCAGATCAGTGGAGAGAAAGTGAATCGAGTGCCGCCCACGTGAGCTGAACAGGATTGCACTGGTCAGATGGACAAGGCAAAATTGCCGCAGCTTAGCATGATCAAGGCTCTACCGGACTCCGGGCAGGACAGCTGTGGACTGAACCGACCATAAAGAACGAATAACACGGGCTAGTCCGTGTGCATAGGCAGATAATATGGGAGGTGACAACGAAACATGGCCAGTGCATAGCTGACATTGAAATGTCATTTCGAATGCATGTACGGTACGAATGCCTCTATGGTCCATGAGTGGGCTGCGTTACCTCCTGGCTACCAAGTGCTTTCTGCTTACAATATTCCATAATCATTCGTGCATTCGATTGAAGAAGTGGGTGTAGTGACCAATAACTATCCATGGAGCCCAAGTACTATTCCAACGCTTCCTCGCTTTAGAATACAGTTTGGCATTTCGGGGTTCAAGACCCAACAACTTTCATTGCAAGTGTCCACACGATGGCTCGTCCGTGTAAACTTAACAATCCCGGCAAGTAACTGACTAGCGATTAACATGCTGAAGTTGATACTACATGTTCTGTCCCAAATCTTAGTCACGAGAGCGAGTGTGGCTACATTTCCCGCTGTTCACGCGTCATAATGAAGTTAGGTGCGCTTAGGAAAAGGCAGCTATTATCGAGATAAGTGGCGGAAGGGTAAACGTACCTGTTAGAATTTGCATTCAAAATGCCCAATCCTCTGGATTGACCTAGAATTAGGTAAGTTCAACTGTGATGGTACAGTAGTGCTTCAGTATACTTCATTGAAACATAAATCCGCGCACAGAAACAATTGATATGTAGCGTAGAATGGTTTCAACTGGGATGTATGATGACAGATTGTTAGTAAATAGCTTCACCACATCTGCCTGAGGTTGTGTAAGTGGATGTTCTGCAAGCTCCATTATTGTACATTTACTAAAACAATGTAAACACTTTTTTGAAAGCCGAATGTAGCACAGGACAAAACGGGATTTACTAGATGTATTAGTCCTGTGATCGCGTCAAAGAGGCCATCAGAGAATGTGTGATATTACCGCCTTCTAACCCATATAGCAGATGGCATCTACAGCAACCACTAACGATAACACATCACTGTACCTCTTATTTGTGCATCAGCCCGCCTAGCAACCGTATTGCTGGCATTTGCTTCCCTATTCCCATACCAGTTGATGCCCACACTTCGGACTACATTTAAGGTGGCCATTTAGATTCCAGTCCAGACGTTAACTAAGCCCCGAGTGTCTTCTTGGTTGCTTTTAGTTGTACGTGCGATTTTCCAACGCTAACAACTATGGCTGTTATGCTTACATGCAACCCATACTCGCGTATGTTCGTAGTGTTATCGTCCATTCCGTTTGTGGTAGTCCATACGCAAGTGTGAACAAATGCCCCCTCGCAACACTGCAGTACTGCAACTCAAAACCGGGACCCTTGGTATGTCAACTGATATCTCTACTCGCAGCGGGCGATGCTCGTCACCATGTGCAATGATTAAATAGAAACCATTTAGAAGCACTTGTAAGCGCCACGCTTCAGGTTGACAGACTGATCGCTTTTTCACTCGCATAACACCATTATCTGCTGTCTGGTGATCGCCCAAATTATAGGTCGCGCTAGCATCTATTCGTATCCTGCTACCTTCACACTTGACACATGGATCTTATCATCTCGTGTGACACCCCATGACTTAGTGCAGGTTGCAATATGAGGTCAATGTAGCCTCTCTCTCAAGTGCCTCTATACGCTCCATTGTATTGCTGCCGCCTTCAGGTAAGCGCACTGAGATTCAGACAAGTCATCAATGTTGATTCCGGAACAGCGGCAGCATGATGTGACATCCAAATCGCAAGGTTTGCGCAGTCAGCATTCTATGCACTGATGAATTGGTCGAGATATACTAGCGGTCAGAACGAATGATCAGGGAGAAATAAATAGTAACACACGACGGACTCGTAGGCAAGATCCGTACATCTCTTGGTGGGGCCTTCAAATTCGATCGTTGCTGTTCTCCTTGGATTATTTTACACCACAGACTGCGGATTCCATCTTTTATTTTCAACTTTGGAGCAATTTGCTTTTTCTGAACAGGTCTCAAGTTCAACCACTTGAAAACGTTACGTGATATTGCCTTAAATCCGTGCCTTATCAAATACGGCCATGAAGTCAGGAACACTTGCAAACGTATTACGAACAAATGCCTTGGAAAAAAGTGCAAGCATCGTGCTCACTGGCAAGCTGGCCTCAGTCGTTGTTCTGTCGACAAAGCGCAAGTCCCACTGATACTTTCCATTAATGTTTGCTCACTCTTTGGTAAAATCAGTGAACTCAGTGCCATTATGCAGCGAAATGAGTATATTACTACAGGAATTATTCTGTTACAAGAAAGCTGGTTACATACTGATGTGGAAAATGGTATAATCCAACTCGATGGTTATTTTCCCATCAGGTCTGATCGCCCTGGGAAGCCCCAGTTCCGTGGTAGTGGCGTTATAACTTATGTTAATCAACGTTGGTGCAACGCAGCAAGCATAATATTTACCTACTCAACAATTTCTATGAGCTGCCATTTAGTTGAGTGCAAACCGAAGTTCCTAAGTAGCTTTCGATCAGTCATTGTTAGAAACGTATACATTGCTCCTGACACATCCGCATCCGAGTTAAAGCTTTTGAAGACCAACTTTCTTCAACGCTACTGCTTAAATTAGATTGTTCTATCTGTATTGTTGCTAGCGACTTCACTAGAAAGGATATAACATTCTTGGAAACACTTGGCTTGGTAGACCCAGTGACTGTTTTGACCAGACAAGATGCTCGGACGATGTGTTCACAAATTAAAGACAGTTATTTGTCATACAAAAGCGGGCGCCTTTGAGCAGCTCAGACCATTGTATTTTAAAACTGTGTCTAGTCATCTACACCAGGTCTAATTTGTTAACGCTGACCAGACGGTCTTACAAGGTTATCAAACGGCGAAATTGATCCTTGGAAAATATCACGAGGCTCCAGACGATGGTTTCTTTAACTGATTTGTAGGTCTTCCAGGACGTGGACCTGTCGCTCAAATGTGATTATCTAACCGACTACATCAAATATTGCTTTGACATGTGTTACCCTGTTGAAACGATCTATCTAAGAGCAGATAGATTTTCCTCTCCACTACTAAAGCGACTTCGGAGGATGAAAGAATGGGACTACAAGACTGATACCCGTGTCAAAAGCCTAACCACGGCAATTAAATCGAGATAAAAAGACTAAACCAATTATACATCGAAGAAGTTCTAGGCAACCATAACTGTCACGATCTATGGGGGCTTCTGAGGCAGCTCTGTGGTAAGAGCGTTCGCAGTCGGAGGTAGAGGATGGGGATAAACTGAATTCGGAGTTTAGTTCCGCCTCACTAAGCTCATCTTTCTTGCCTTTCTTCATTAGCTCAAGTCCAGCCGTGCCCTTCGATCAAAGTAACGTCCACAAGGAACTCAAAAGATTAAAGGCAACAAAAGCTTGTGGTCCTGATGCTCTCTCACCTTTAGCTTTGAAGGAGTGTGCTGATTCTCTCACACTGCTTCTAACAGACCACTTGAACAAGTGTCTACGGGTGTGATCCCGAACATTTGGAGAGCGGCCAGTATTACTCCGGTACCAAAAACTGGATCTTAAAAGTACCACCCAATTGCATGTACATCTGTGCTCCCAAAAGTTTTCGTAAGATTGTTAATTCTGAGGATTTTTTCAACCGCTCCTGAAGACGATATCTACCAGTTCGCGTATAGACCCCAGACCTCCACATTGGATGCATTGGCATATGTTGTTCATTCTATAGCCCCTGGATTAGATCAAAAATGTAAATCCGTACGGCTTCTCTTTCTGGATTATTCGAATGCATTTGGAAGCCTGGATAGGTCAAGGTTGCTAAACCTGCTTACAGATCGTACTTACTTCACCAAGTTGAACGGTAAGAAATCCTCTGTCCTCCGTGCCGACTGTGGTGTTCTACAGGGAGCGATCCTATCAGTTTTTCTATGTTCCTTGTATGTTGAACATCTCCTTATACAAACCACGTTTATAGGGTGTAAGTAGGCTGATGATGTTATGCTGGGATGTATGTCCCCCATTAACCATGATTCCTCATTACTTCAACGTGGGTTGGAAGATCTGGTGGACTGGTCTTCATCCAGATTTATGATTAATGCTTCTAAATCCAAGGATGTAATAATTTCTTTTCTACGTGGCGACAAGTTGCAGTCCCTCATAGCTTCCCCCCCCCCAATCTTGCTGTGAATGAAAATCCCATACCCAGCTTTTCCATCGTCAAGTATCTCCGCGCTTTTTTGTCCCAGAACCTTTCTTGGTCCGCACACGTCTGTACAACTTTTCAAAAAGTCAGAAACCTTTCTTTTTATACTCTCAGACTTAAGATGCTTTCAGTACCTCGTACTTTAATATTCAGGTTTGCAACCTCTTGTATTATTCCCCATTGGCTATACTGTTCTCCTGTCATTTTCCCTGGTCAGCTTCAGAAATACTACATTCTTATTGGTGCGGTCTATAAAGCACATTGCTAGATGCACCGGCTTGTCTAGAGATTCTTTAGTTCCTTTGATCATTTCTAGACATCTTGGTGCCTGCCATTATTTTTCTTCTAAGGTACTAACTGATCGGTGTCAACCACTTCACAATGATCTTTCCAAACCCCTCTTTCTCTTCTACCCGTTCGAAATTCCGAATTTTATCCTCCCGCACGTCATCATTTCGTGATCCTGTTTTGCCTTATCTCTCACGATTGCTGGTTGACCCAGCGAAAGTCACAAACATGCTGCGCGAGTGCTTGTTGGAGTAACAGTTTTGGTTTTTTCCACTTTTCTACCCAAGCATGTATATTGCTATTATCATCCAGGTGTCCGCAGTGATGGTGTAAATACTGAAAATGAACCCATTAGGGTACATAAAGCTGACTTTGACTTGACTTGACTGTCTGGTGGTTCTACATACCAGTTGATTCTCGCTCATCTCGGACAAGAGACGATTGTACCGGGTGTGGTTACCTCCCTACACGGATAGCCTGCAGTTAATATATGAGACGGCATTCACAGCACACACCAACGATAAGTCATCATTGTTCCATTGTGCTCCTACTTCTTCGTTAAAGTGAACATAGCTATAATTCCCGTTCTTGCGCCGCGAACTTTAACTTAGCTGAGCTTATAGAAATCAGTGGATGTAATTGCATCATTTCCCTACTAACCTGTAAAGTTGCTTACTTCGTCTCTGCCATCTTTGTGTAATCCTTAATCTATCGCGCATGTAAGTTGCGCTTGGGTACCGTTTTACTCTAGACTGATTAATTACTGACTTGGTGCAATGTACTATTTTTATTGTACCTGCCTAGAACAGATGAGCCATATCTAACCTAAGTTTACTGGGAGTACTTAACCCGGTTATATTTCGCGATGACTTCACGTGTTGCCCACTACACTGTTGTACTCATCATGACCTATGCTATTCTTGCTATCTTCTCAAGTGGAGTCGATTATGGTGACATACCGAGACGGTGAGCTACGGCATCTTCCTCTTCGTACTATTATTCGGCCGCGATTCACATCAATATGTAAGCTCCATGGTATTACTCATCAGACTATGCTATCTACATCTGCTCCTTGAAATCGATTTGTAGATTACATGACCCTAGTTTGACCAGCTGCCCAATGCTAACTAGCACGACGCTTAGAGAGCCAGTGAATCGCAGGATAATGATTCAGTCCATGCATGAGCTCATTCGTATTGAACGTGCGCGCGGACTTTCCGAGCTAAGTGGGTGGTTGATCCGGATCAATGCTATGGTGGCAAGTTACTGCGCATGTTTCCAGCTCTATGGATACGCTTGAATCAAAAGGTTACCAGCGCCTGGTCGCTTGAAGTACACAAAATATGTAAACTTTGACGTTTGGAACACAATGTTCAATGATCGTCCCTCGTGTGACCATGTTGGACTACGCATCCGGAGAGAAATTGTCCTGGAAATTCTGGGCAAATGAATAACCCCGACAATTAACCGAGTAGCGATTATCATGATGTCGACAGTTTATGTTTCGCTCCACGAGTTAGTGATGAAAGTGAGTATAGTTATATTTCAAGTTGTTCATCAGGCATACTGAATTTACCGGGGCTTATGAAAATGCAAGTGCTAAGCGGATTGAAGGCAGAAGCGCAGAGTCGCCTACCAGAAGTTGAATTGGACATGGCCAATCTTCTGGATAGAATAAGAGAACGGCTAAGCTAAAACGGGACTGCTACGTCAGTGTCTTCGTACATTGAAAAGGAATCGACGCATAGAGACAATCGTTTTAGGAGCACCGAATGGCTGCACCCGAGAAGTACGATGCAGATCGGTACCAAATAGCTTATGGCCACAGCAGAGTACACATCGGTATTTACAAACGGTTGAGTACTTGGGTGACAGCCATGAGACGTCTTGGACATTTGCAAAACAATGCGAACACTGTTAGGAAGGCCGCATGGTTGGCGGTGGGTAACGGGATTTAGTTGATGTAATATTGTGGTGGTTGTCGTCCCGACAAGCTCGTGTGCGGCCAATATGTGGAATTGCCTCCTGTCAATGCTTAAGGTTGTGCAACAATCGTTCTTTGAGAATCTGCACGTACCACGGGCAGCCAATGAACGGACCGGTCGGCGACACGGAGAGCCTGAAGTGAACACTCAATCGCATTCGCACGCTGTGCGATCTCCCCATCAGCTTCTTCTAGCCAGACTGCACATATAGACGGCAACAGTTAAGTACACACTATTTTACTGTACCACTTGTTTATTTATCATTCAACCTAGTAACCGTACTGATAGCCGTTGCTTCACTGTTCCTATATCAGTTTCGTTAAGGCTGTCATTTAAACCTAGTCAGGCCAAGTTGTTAAACAAACCAGACTCTCTATGGTTCTGCGTGGAATGCACATCTATCCCACTGATAAAAAGCATGCTCCTATTATCTCAGAAGTACGACCAGCTACTAGCCGAGTTTGAGGAAATGGTGACCACCAAAATCATGAGGGTTGGGCTAAGCAAGCGGACTGTGCAACCCAATCCTCCCCCTTGGTTACTGTTCCTATCCCGCGAAGAATTGCTACTAACACCGTAGGCAACGCGACACCTAGAGTCCGGAACATCAACAGCTGTCCCAATACCACAGGCGGCTCACATTTGACTAATGCGGTTCCCAGTTCGGTCTGAGTAACTACACGTAAGGCCACTTCCAAC